TATAATTCGAAAAAGCAAGGAGCAAGTCCCAGTCCATAAAATAAGAAAAAAAAATACGTAATTTTCAGATTTATAGGATTAAACAAAAGGATTCGCAAATAAAAGCGCTAATGCTACAACCAGCCCATAAATTGTTAAAGCTTCCATAAAAGCTAGACTTAACAATAAAGTACCTCGTATTTTTCCTTCCGCCTCAGGTTGTCTCGCGATACCTTCGACAGCTTGGCCCGCAGCAGTACCTTGACCAACTCCAGGTCCAATAGAAGCAAGACCAACGGCCAACCCAGCAGCAATAACAGAAGCGGCAGAAATCAGTGGATTCATGATAAGTTCCTCGCACCAAAATAAAGAAATGGTTAATGATACAATCATCCAATGAATTATGACTTCATTATTTCATGGCTAATATTTATCTAGCCAAAGTAACTAAGAACTCCGAATTGAATAATAATATTATTGAACCGTCAGAACTATTTCGATATCTCGTTTTTAGTTCCTATCCACGGGATTTTTGTGAATCCATATATATAATATATATAATATATATGACTTTTTACATTTCTTTTCTGTGAACCATTCTTTTAATCCCTCGTTCTTTGTCTTTATTTCATCCCTTTATTCATTTAATTCACAGTCAAAGATTAAAGAAAGGGAAGAACTTCTACTGGAATCCCTATCTAAATTCACAACAGTAGGGCGGATTAGATATACCTTTAGTTCATATAGAACTAGTCAATATCTAATATCACATATACATGTGTTTCTTCCATAACGTAAACCAACTATTCATATTTGAATCTTAGATGAAATCGGATTCTAGAATTTTTATTTTTCTTCGAAACATCTACAAGAATTGGCTTATAACCATTAGATTCCAGATACCTAATTCTACCCCCTCTCTCTCCTACCCAACTCTCCGTTTTTTATGAATCTCGTTTTTTTTGTAAATTCTTCTTTTCCTTTTATTTATCATTATCCCACATAGATACAATCTAAATGAACGAATTCATTAGGTCAAATCATTGCATAGAAATAAATATCAGTATCAGTATTTGATTGAGCGAAATTCGTGCAATTTAATTTATTATTTATAAAAATTTCATTTTGGTCAATCGTCGAATTGAATGAAAAATCGACTAAAATTCGGAATCGTTCTAAAAAAACATCTTTTTTTAATCATTTTTAATCACACGCCGTAAATTGATACCATAAGAATTATTATTCAAATAATTTTCTCCTAATATTGAATTTGAAATTCAATAGAAATTGAATAAACAAAACAATATAAATATGAAGAGAATATTCATTGAAGGGAACGGAAACATAATAAATAAATAGGAATTTTAGGAAAAAGATCTTTTAGATCTCTTTCCTTTTTTATTACAATTCCCTAATATCGTAATCTTTTTTGCTATGCTATTACTCTAGATCGTATATACCGTATTTGTATATTTATATTCCCTAAGTAGATTATCCATACATCGCATTGAGCTAACCTAAAAAAAGACTATTTCAAAAAATAGTCAATGATGACCCTCCATAGATTCGCCTATATAAGCCGCAGCTAAAGTTGCAAAAATAAGAGCTTGAATGCCGCTTGTAAATAATCCAAGGAACATCACAGGTATAGGAACCACTAAAGGTACTAAAGAAACAAGAACAACAACTACTAATTCATCGGCTAATATATTTCCGAAAAGTCGAAAACTAAGCGATAAGGGTTTTGTGAAATCTTCTAAGATGTTAATAGGTAAAAGAATTGGAGTTGGTTGAATGTATTTACTGAAATATCCTAATCCTTTTTTGGTAAGACCCGCATAGAAATATGCTACTGATGTGAGTAAAGCTAAAGCAACGGTAGTATTTATATCATTCGTGGGTGCGGCTAACTCCCCATGAGGTAACTGTATGATTTTCCAAGGTAAAAGAGCACCCGACCAGTTAGAAACAAAAATAAATAGAAACATAGTTCCAATAAAAGGAACCCATGGACCGTATTCTTCTCCAATCTGAGTTTTGCTCACGTCGCGAATGAATTCAAGGACGTATTCGAAGAAATTTTGGCCAGCAGTTGGAATGGTTTGTGGATTGCGAACCGCTATAATGGCGGAACCTAATAAGATAGCAATTACAACCCAAGAAGTAATAAGTACTTGAGCATGAACTTGTAAACCTCCTATTTGCCAATATAAATGTTGGCCTACTTCTACACCAGATATATCGTATAAACCTTTTAGTGTGTTGCTGGAACATGATATAACATCCATATTGACCTCTGACAGAAATAATAACTTTAAATTATTTTGATTCAACCATCTCTCTTTTTTGACTTGTCTACTTGAATTGTATATTTTGGTTTTTTGGATATCAACTAAAGTAATCACATAATATCCACAGTTTTTTTTATCTCTTTCTCTTTTGTGAGATTCGGGAGTAGTAACCGATTCCATAAATCTAGGGAGTCCCCTCCCCCCAAAAAAATTATTTATCTTATTATTAA